AGAATCAACTTTTCAATGGTTAGTAAGATCCATACTCCTCCCACCTGAGCCCAGGATTGTACCAGCTCATCTGAGTTCCACTTTTTCTGAACCACCCATCCCATGTTCCTCCATGTTCCTCCTTTTCATGTTAGTTCATGAGTCCCATGTTCAAAAATGGCGGCTATCTCTGCCGTCAGAGTGTGTCAGTTAATAGTCAATAAGCTTATTAAGCAAGGCAGTGGAGAAAAGCCTTTGCCTGGTCCTTGACCCCGATGGGTTGCAACCGGTTTAGCCTCCAGGCTAAAGGAACTACTTGTTTACAGAATGTTTGGGGCACTTTCTGATTGGTTGAGGGACTATCCACTTGGAAGTCCTTCTCAGAATTCCCTTGTTCTGCTGTGGAAGCATAGCATCTAATCCTTTCTCACAGAGTGTTGAGGGAATATATATTCCAGGTGTGGGGAGAAGGGGGAGAGACAGCTTGTTCAAAGGCACAGATGTGGGAGACGTAATACTGGGTTCAGGGAACAAAAAAATAGGCCAGTTTGGTTGCAATTTAGAGAATGTAACTGTAGTAAGGTAAAATAAATCTGGGAAACAAAAGGTCAAAAACCACAAAGGAAACAATGATAAAAATTAGGAATAAAAGGGTTCTAGTGGTCAGTCAGTCGATAAACATTAATTAAGTACCTACTTAATGCAATAAAGCATCTATTAAGCTTTGTGCTACACACTGTGCTAAGTGCTGAGGACTGCTGTTGTTCAGTCATTTCAGACTCTTTGTGACCCCATTTGTGGTTTTCTTGGCAAAGATTCTAGAGTGGTTTCCCATTTACTTCTCCAGCTCATTTTCAGTTGAGGAAATTGAGGCAAATAGGGTTTAAGTGACTTGCATAGGCTCACACAGCTAATAAGTGTCTGCAATCAGATTTGACCTCGGGAAGATGTCTTCCTAATTCCAGACCCAGCATTCTATCCACTGTACCACCTGGCTGCCCTCAGTGCTAAGGATACAAATATGAAAAGAAAAAACAGTCTCTGTCCTCAAGGAGCTTATAATCTAATAGGGATTCCCACTCAGAAAAGGAAGCTGAAAAGTGAAGAAGGGGAAAGGGGAGGTATTCAACCTGGAGGGAGAAGTCCAAAGTACAAGAATCTTAAATTATACTATTGTTGAGGTCAGAGTTGGGAGAGCAGTTCAGGTGTGAAAGAATTCACTTAGACCTTCTCTGTAGCCATTGGTGATGAGTTCAGGGTGAACCCCAAGAATGCTGGGGTGCTACCTGAAATGATGAGGAATAGACATGCCTATCCTAGTGTCCTGAAAGAATTCACTCGGACAGTCTCCAAGTTAAAGAAAGGCATTTATTGGGGTGATGCACCCAAGCAAGCCTGCTCCCTGTGAGGCAGGGCCCCAATAGGCTCTACTCCATGTGGGAGGCAAAAGTATAGGTCACAGGCCCTGCTTCCCCAAGGGAGCAGAGTGGTTTCTGCTTCCCATAGGAGGCAAAGGCCATTAGCTAGGTCAAAGGTAAATACAATTTTATGGAATAGGGGCAAGAGAACAATAGAATGGGAGAATCAAGAGTGGCTCCAAAATGCCTGGGATATCAGGTAATCTGGAGGTGATAAACAAAGGGAACAGGAAAGTGGAGGGGAAGAATTGTTCTGGAATTGGGGGTGCTTTGTGAAAGCACACAGATTAAGTCCACAGTGGGGGCTTTAATGCATAATCTTCTTTTTTATTTTTTTTTTCACTAGGCAATGGAGTTAAGTGACTTGCCCAGGGTCACACAGCTAGTGAGTATTTTGTGTCTGAGGCCGGATTTGAACTCAGGTCCTCCTGACTCCAGGGCCGGTGCTCTATCCACTGTGCCACCTAGCTGCCCCCATAGTCTTCTTTGATCACTTTCCTGACTGGTCACATCCTGCATCTTATCTCCTATCTCAAATCCTGCTTGCTCCACCTGCCTCAAGCACTCTTTTCTCCCTCATCACTATAAATTGGTAATCATCAAAACTATTTAATATTGTTTAAAAGTGGAAAAAAATTATTGATGGAACAGATTAGGCAAATATGACCCAGAAGCAACCAAACTTAGTAAATTGTTCTCTGTCATTTTTCAGTCATGTTTGACTTGCCCAAGATCACACAGTTAGTAAGTGTCTGAGGCCAGATTTGAACTCAAGAAAATGAATCTTCCTGACTCCAGCCTGGGCACCCAGCTGCTCAATTAAGATCCAAGAAACCCAAAGAAACCAACCCCAGGGTTAAAACTTTCTATTTGACAAAAATTGAGAAAATAGGAAAGCAGTTTTATACTATCTACCACAATTAGCTCCAAATGGATACATCTCCTAATATAAAAAGTCACTTTATTTTTTAAAAATGGGAAAAAAGGAGATATATTTTACAACCATGGAGAGGAAAGAAAATTCGTATCAAAAACTAGGGATAAAGATGATCATAAAAGATAAAATGTATAATTTTATTACACAAAAGTGAAAAGTTTCTGCACATGCACAATAAAATGCAGTTGAAACCTTAATTTTTTACTGTAGTTAAACTTCAAAAATAAGAAGAAACAATTAGGAAAATCTTTAAGTTTCTCTGATAAAGGTCTAATATAATAATAAAGTTCTAGCATTTATAGCACTTTGCATATGCTGTCTCATTGATCCACACAACAACCCTGTAGAGTAGATGCTATTATTATCTCCATTTTACAGATGGGGAAACTGAGGATGAGAGAAGTTAAATGACTTGCCCTTGGTCACACAGCTAGCATGTGTCTGAGGCTAGATTTGAACTCAGGAAAGATGAGTCTCCCTGATCCCAGTCTGGTTCTGCTCATTTCACTTTACATCAGTTCATGTTGGTCTTTCCAGGTTTTTCTGAAATCCACCTGTTCAACATTTCTTATGGCAAAATAGTATTCCATTGCATTCATACACCACAGCTTGTTTAGCCATTCCTCAACTCATGGGTATCCCCTCAATTTCCAATTTTTTGTCACCATAAAAAGAGCTGCTATAAATATTTTTGTGCATTTATAATAAATTTTCCTCTAAGGTTACCTTGGCTGCATCCCTAAAGTTTTAGTTTTTGTGGTTGTTCAGTCCCTTCAGTCATGTTTGACTCTTCATAACCCCATCGGGGGTTTTCTTGGCAATCTTTCTAAAATTTTATTCTAGCCCATAATTTCTCTTGAATACTTTATATGTAGGTTTGTTTTTTATTTGTTTGTTTGTAACTTACTAGGTTTCTGTGAGTCTTCTGCATCTGCTCCATTTTCTATGTGGTAAAATAAAGACTTTCCTGTACCCAATATACATTTAGTAGCTATGAAAGCTTAGGACTCCTTTATCCACATTTGGGGAAATCCAGACACAAGCTATAACATGAGTATAATAGATTTCACATAGGGGAAGAGTGTTATAAGTGTTAGTAGATTTTCCTGGAGCATTTCCAAGTTGGAGGGAAGGCAGGGAATAAGCCAAAAAAAAGAAAAAAATGATCCTTTTTTAAAAAAAATTTATTTATTTATTTTTCGTTTTCAACATTCCCTTCAATAAGATTTTGAGTTCCAAATTTTCTCCCCATCTCTCCTTTCACCCCACCCCAAGGTAGCATGCAATTCAATATAGGCTCTACATATACTTTCATATTGAACCTGTATTGACATTAGTCATATTGTAAAGAATAATTAGAACCAATGGGGAAAACCATGAGAAAGAAGAAACAAACGAAAAAAAAAAGAGAGAGAGAGAGAGAACAAATAGTATGCTTCAATCTGCATTCAGACTCCATAGTTCTTTTTCTAGATATGGACACCATTTTCCATCATGAGTCCTCTGAATCCTTGCATTGCTGAAAAGAGCCAAGTTAATCATCACACAATGTGGCTATTACCATGTACAACGCTCTCCTCATTCTGCTCATTTCACTCACCATCAGTTCATATAAGTCTTTCTAGGTTTTTCTGAAGTCTGCCTGCTCATCATTTCTTGTAGCACAATAGTATTCTGTGATACTCATATACCACAATTTGTTCAGCCATTCCCCAATTGATGAGCATCTCCTCAATTTCCAATTCTTTGCCACCATTAAAAGAGCTGCTATTTCTATTTTTGTGGGTCCTTTTCCCATTTTGATGATCTCTTTGGGATAAAGGCCTAAAAGTGCTATTGCTGAGTGAAAGGGTATGCACAATTATATAGCCCTTTGGGCATAGTTCCAAATTGCTCTCCAGAATGGTTGGATCAGCTCACAACTCCACCAACAATGCATTAGTGTTCCCATTTTCCCACATACTCTCCAGCATTTATCATTTTCCTGTTTTGTCATGTTGACCAATCTGATAGGTGTGACGTGGTACCTCAGAGTTGTTTTGATTTCCATTTCTCTAATCCATAGTGATTTAGAGCAAAAAAAGGTTATCCTTTTTCAGATTGACCCTGGATATCCAAGCTGGTCCATGTGAACTGAGAGTCTTTAGAGGACCACTAGTCATGGGTTATATAGTCAATGTCTTTAGTTGTTTTTGGTGGTGTTATTGTTCAGTCCTGTCGGATTCTTCTTGATCTCTTTTGGGTTTTTCTTGGCAAAGATTCTGGAGTGGTTTGCCATTTCCTTCTCCAGCTCGTTTTCAGTTGAGGAAATTGAAGCAAACAGGGTTAAGTGACTTGCCCAGGGTCACACAGCTAGTAAGTGTCTGAGGCTGGTTTTGAATTCAGGAAGATGAGTCTTCCTGACTTAAAGCCTGGCACTCTATCCACTGTGCCACCTAGATGCCCATATACCCTTGACTCATAACAAATAAACCCTGCTCTTCCAAAGAGAGCATAGTTAAGATAATCAAGGGCTGAGGATGAAGTTTGGCTAATCTCTCCATAGGTGGTAGGAAGAAGCCACTCTAGCTAGATGAAATAGGAGGTGGCCTCTGGAATCCCATCACCAATTCCAGCTCCTTCCCAGAGATCTGAGTTCTCACTAGCTTCTTTTTGTTTCTACTCAGGTGTCTTTCCACCCGCAGCCCCAGTATCAACACAAAACCCTGCATCTGATGACTTAGGAATCCTAACCTCATTGGCTGAAATTCTGAACAACTCACAGTCCAGCCCTTCGACCAGCATTTCGACTGGCCCTGCATCCAGCCCTCTGACCGGTCCTTTGCCTCATCCTCCGCCCCATCCTCCAAATAATACAATACCTGGCCGTGTGGCTGTTCTTCCAAACACTCCACTGTTCAGCTTTCTAACTAGCAACCTGAATAATCAACTGGCTGATTCCATAGCTACATCTCCAAACAGCTTACTGGCAAATGCTTTGCCTTACTCCACACCTGCCCCTTTAAGCAGTCCAGCGATAGCCTCTGAAACTGTCCCTTTGGTTGCTTCTACTAACGGCAGCCTATCGTCGGGGCCTCTGTCTGGCTCTATTAACAATGCACAAATAGTCAGTCCTATGACTAGCCCCACAAAAAGCCCTCTTATGGGCCCCAGTCCCCCAGCAGCCTCTGTAGGCAGTCCACAAACAGGTTCAATGGCTGTCCCTCCAGTCAGCATGTTGTCAAGCTCACTGCCAGGCTCTCTGAGTGCTCCCATGGCTGTGCCTCCGATCAGTACACCGTCAAGCTCACTGACAGGCTCTCTGAGTGCTCCCATGGCTGTCCCTCCAATCAACATGCTGCCAAGCTCACTACCAGGTTCTCTGGGTGCTCCCATGGCTATCCCTCCAATCAACACACTGTTGAGCTCACTACCAGGTTCTCTGGGTGCTCCCATGGCTGTCCCTCCAACCACTGCCCTATCTGGCACAATAGGCTCAGTAGGTAGCCCTTCAGGCAATGTGTTGCCCAACTCTATGGTCAACAACATGCTACTAATTGGCCCTGATCAGCCTTTGGATGCAACACATCACAGCTCCTCTAGTCCTCCACCCTCAGCCAACATTCCTGTTTCCTCTGCCACTATTCCCAAAGGTAACAGGTGGGGTGGGGTGGGGGGAGTGCCAGGGAAGAATGATTGAGATTGTTGGGGGAGGGGGAACAGGAGCTAAGAGACAAGAAGTCATGGGGATGGATTGTTTTGGTACTGAAGTAATATACCCTGTTTTCTGATCCCACTACCTATTCTAATCTTATTCCTTGCCTTAATCACTATCACTATTCTGACACTTCTCTAAATCCCACCTTACTTTAATATTCTGCCTTACTCTGCCTTCTCTATGATTGCCAGTCATGATTTCCACTGATGATAACAAAAGAGTAATGGACTGGAAACCATCTGCAGATGTGGAGCCTTCCAACATGGTGTTTGTGGGCCAGCCAACCCAGACTTCCACCCCCCTTGGTACCATGACTATTGGGACCCCCATCACAACCTTCTTTGGATCCCCAGAATCCTTGGCACAAGGCAACACCTCTATTCCCACCACGTCTTCAGCTTTGGCCAGTGTCCCCATAGCTGGTACTATTCCCACATCTGCCCTTCCAGTTACTGTTGCTACCTCTAGTACCCACTCTACAGCAGATGCCACCTCTCTTCACCAAGATGCTCCCCCATCTTCCACCCCAAATCTTAATGCAACTTTATGCAAAGACTCCTCCAATAAACTACAGAATTCCCCAGCACGTACTGCCCTCACTTCACATGCTTCTTCCCTTTCTCCTCCACATTCCTCTCATTCTCCACCGCCACATTCTATCATCTCCTCTTCCCCTGCCAATCATGCCCGAAGGACCCATTCCTTAGAACACAAAAACAAGAGCCTCCTGGAAACTGAGAGGAAGACGGCCCATCGGAAGACCGGTAAAGTCAGTGAAACTAACAGAGGTCAGTGTTCTACCCTTACTGGTCATTTCCATGATGTACATGATATAGGCTCTCAGTAAATCTCTCTCTCTCTCTCTCTCTCTCTCTCTCTCTCTCTCTCTCATATAGATATATAGATATATAGATATATAGATATATTTTGCCATGAACCATTCTTTTTCCCCCAGTATCTTCAGACCCCACCTTTTGTACTTTTTTCAATTTGTGGAACTTCTAACCTCCATCTCTCCTTCTGTTAATCACTGATCCCCTACCATTATTCCCTTATCCCCCCCCCCAACAGCATGCCTTGTTTTGTCTACTTCTCTCCTCTTCTGTGAACACTCTCTCCCCTGTCTGTCTTCTTCTTCTGACATAGTCCTCTTCCTTTTCCTCAGAAGCTAAGCAGCTGACATGTGAGCGTCTGGTTGGAGAGATTGCCTTCCAACTTGACCGTCGAATACTGTCCAGTATCTTTCCTGAGCGAGTACGCCTCTACGGATTCACTGTCTCCAACATCCCTGAAAAAATTATTCAGGTCTGACCACAGTTTCAATCCTTGATTTCTGACCCCTCCTCCCCATAGATTTCACTAGCTCCTGAATCTCAGGTCTTAACTCCTTAACTTCTTCCTCTAACCTCTCAGGAGGTGGTAAAAGCCCCTAGGGCCTAGAGCTGCCCAAGAGTATATTATACCCTGGGCAAGACTGTCAGCCAGTGTAATCCTCTTGTTGGGTATGGACTGGCTGTTTGTGGTACCAACTGAGGGCTACAAAATTTCAGTCACCAGTCCAGGTTACAAGCAGTTTAACACTATGGACAAGATGAGAATAGTGGTTAAGCAAGCTGGACTTGACTTGGAAGTCAAGTATCAGGGCAACAGGGAAGAATCATAGTTTTTAGCCCAAGGTAGTACCCAGGAAGTCTCCATCAGGAGATGGGATCAAAAGATTAATGAAACGTAGAACTCTTCATTGGATCCAGGAGAGTTCAATAGTAATAGCTGTTTTAAGTGTATCTGCTGCCTTCTAAAGTGAAGTGGTTCAGATCTGATGCTTTTCATTTATTTCTGATAAGACTTACTCACTGTCAGTATCCTCATATAGGGCTGCTATCTCAGGAAGAAAGACGGGAATCTGAACATCCAAGGGGCTGGGTCTGATTCACCCTGTCACTTTCTTGTATTAACACTATGAAAGTGGATCAGGGCCCTAACAACAGGAACTTTAACACTCCTCAGATTTTTCTGGTCCCAGGTTAGCTTATTATTTCTTTTTTTTCTCTTGTACTTCAGATACTGGTCTATCTCTCAGTATCTTTTGTAATCACCACTAGCTTGTTGAAAGGAAAGCAGCATTTTTGTAAATTAAAACATTAAAGAAATGTGAGCATTCCTCTCTTCTCTGGCCCATTGTGGATCAAGCTCATTGCCAATTTATTCCCTGCTGTCCTGTTGATGGAGTACATTCACAGACCTTGCAAAGTTATCAGTTCCCAGTAAACAATCTAGAGGAGCAAAGGGGAAGCTACAGAGTTATCAACATGTCATAGAAAAGCTGTTCTTATCTTCATATTATGGACTAATCCAGAATGTAATTTTCTTTCTTGATTCTCTATCTCGACACTTATTTATTCTCATTTTCTAGCTCAGCTATCAAATGCCATTTTAAAAAATCAGTCTAGGGGCAGCTAGGTGGTGCAGTGGATAGAGCTCCAGCCCTGAAGTCAGGAGGACTTGAGTTCCAATCCGGCCTCAGACCAGACACTTGAAACACTTACTAGCTATGTGACCCTGGGCAAGTCACTTAACCCCAATTGCCTAAAAAAATAAAATAAAAAAAATAAGGGTCTGGTGCTCATCCCCTCTCCCTCTGCTGGAAGAAGGGATTCTCTGCATCTTCTTCCATTTTGTCTCTCAACTCTGACATTACATTATTTGATGAGGAAAGAATTGAATTAAGAATCATTTGTATTATAGTAAGAAGTCCTTTCCCCTCAAAATCCTTTAATTGCCCCTTTGCTTCACAAATTAATATTACTTGAGACATTAACCTTACAAGTTCTCCCTCCCAATTTAAAATAGAAAATGTTAATTCTTTAACATCTTCCCTGAAGGTCTGTGAACGAAAAGTCTTAAGTAGCACCAAGAGAAACTGTCAAATGTGTATATTTCCAGGACTATGTTTTATAGCCACATGGAGCTCCTGTAGCTCCTATAACTATATCTGTAGCTTGGAATGAACATTTTTCATAGTGTTCAAACATTATGTACAAAATGACAGAATCTCAGAATTGGGAACAATCTGTACCTAAACAGGAATCTCCTTTAATCCCAACAAGTAACAACCAGCAACCACTTGAAGCTCTACAGTGACCAGGAGCCCAGAACAGCCATAGATGATCAGTTCTACTTTTGGAGGTCTAATTGATAGGAAGTTTTTCCCTATATCAAGTCTAAATATGCCTCTCTACAACTTCTATCCGTATTCTAAATTCTACCTTCTGGGACTAAGTAGGGTAAACCTAATCTCTCTTCTACATGACAGTCCTTCAAATAATTTGAAGACAACTAATTTGGGTCCTCCTTAACTTTTTTTCCCTCTAAGCTAATTATCCTCAGTTCCTTTTAATGATCCTCCTAAAATATAGTCTCCTGTTCTCTCATCATCCTGGTCCCTCTTGTATGGATGAGCCCTAATTTATCAATAATCTTTGTAAGATGTAGCACCTATAACTAAGCACTATATTCCAGATGTGGTCTGGCTAAGGCAGAATGCAACCATACTTTCAGCTCCCTTGTTCTGAATACTATACCTCTACTAACCTGGCCTAAGACTGCATTAGCTTTTTATAGCTGCCATATTAAATTGTTGACTCATAGTGAATTTGTAGTTGATTAAAACCTCTATAACTTTTGTCACATAAACTTTCAAGGCACATGTGCTCTATCCTACATTTATTCAACTGACCTTTGAACCCTGGTATAAAACTTTACATTGATCTCTTTAAAATTTCACTTACTTAGAGGCAGTCCATTCTTTTAAACTGTTAAGCTCTTTTTATATGCTAACTATATCATCTAAACTGTTAGCTTTCCTTTCTGTCTTTGTGTCACTGAGAAATTTAAAAAGGATGCTATTTAAGATTTTACTCAAGTCATAGATTCTTTGGACAGGATCAAAATCAAGATTATTTGGCACTCCACTGGAGACATCTGTGCAAGTTGACATAGATCCATTAATCATTCTTTGGGGTCAGTCATTCAGCCAGTTCCTAATTTAAGTAATTATACTAGAATTCAAGCTACATCTCTTCATCTTTTCCACAAGGTTATGAGGCTTTGTCAGATGACTTTCTAAAACATATATACTCTATCTATGGAATCTCTCTGAACTGGCAGTCTAGTGAATCTGTCAAAAAAAAAAGAAGAAAATAAGATTAGTTTTGCATATCTTATTCTTGAAGAAGTCATGTTGGTGTTTAGCAATCACTATTTCCCTTTTCTACATGCTCATCAACTGTCTCTTTAATAAAACTTTTGTAGCAGGTGTGCCCACATATCCTCTTGGAAGGAAGGCCCTCTTTTCCCTCTCTCTCCTGAACAAGGCATGATATTCCTTATCAGCTCTGACAAGGCATGACATCACCTTATTGTGGGTATACATTGCCTCTGGACACCACATTGTTAATGAAGTCCATACACTTTAACTACACAACACCCCTAATGTAGAGAAAAAGACTACTTACGGAGATAAGGACTCAGTTCCCTGGAGAAGAAGAAATTATGCCAGGTGGAGACAGAGTAATGGAGGACAAATCAAGCCAAGGACATAGATCAAGCCAGGAGCTAGAACCTAAAGAGCAGCTTGTCATAGAGCCATGACGAAGGAGCAAACCTGGATCTTGCCCTTCAGTAAGATTGTGATACATGTGGAATGTATAGCTCCAGGAGAGGGGAATTGACTCTCCAGTCACCCCAGCTTCATCCTCCTTACTGGGGTCCTCTCCACCCAGTATAGTGCATTGTAAGTCTAAGGGATTGTAAAGCTCCTTGAAAAAGGTAGGGTTTGGGGAAAATAGGTGGTATAGCGGACAGAACACCAGCCCTGGAGTCAGGAGGTCCTGAGTTCAAATCCTCAGATGCTTACTAGCTGTGTGTCCCCGAGCAAGTCACTTAATCCCAATTACCTCCAAAAAAATAAAAAGGTAGAGCTTACCATAAAGGAGGGTTCTTTGCTTCTTAGGCAACCCCAAGTTCTTTCCTCTTGCAAGAGGATCACAAAATAATATTATAAGTACTATAGTACTTGGGTAATGTAAAGGCCCACTGGAAAAGGAAAGGAAATTGTTTTGACTGTTTATGGGTCATTTATGTTCTTTTGTAAGATTTGATAAAACCTTGACATTCTCCAGCTCATCAATATCTTCCTTAAACCATGGAACCCCAAAATTAACACAGTATTCCATGTGAGGTCTGATGAGAGCAGAGTAGACAAGAACTAGCACTTCTTTATTCCTGGAAGTCATACTTCTCCTAAGGCAGCCCAAGATTGCATTGACCTTTTTGGCTGCTATCACATTGAATCGCTATGACTCAGTGAGCTTGCTGTCCACTAAAATCCCAAAATCTTTTTTCAAAATGACCACTATTTTCTTCCATTTTGTACTTGAGAAATTGGTTTTTGTGCCCAAGTGTAAGATTTTACATTTATCCCTATTGAATTCCATATTAATAGATTCAACTCAATGCTCTAGCCTATTAGATGCTGATATTGTGTTATTTATCCTACCTGGACTTATGTCATCTTCACATCTGAGGAGAAAGCCATCTATAATATATCCAAGTCATTGATAAAATTTGTTTTTTTATTTTAAATTTTTATTGATATTTTTTGCTTTTTAACATCACCTTCATCTGTTAATATATTCTGCTCTCTATCCCTACTTACTAATTCATTCCTTATAACAAAAAAAGAAGAAAAAACAGCTCAGCCAAACTAACCAACACATTGAGTCTAACAGCATATGCAACATTACATACCCATAGTCTTCCATCTTTGCAAAGAAGGTAGAAAGGAACATTTTTTTATCTTTTTTTGGGAGCAAATTTGGTTATGATAATTTAAAGCATTCAATGTTTGTTGTCATTGCTAGTGTTGTTCCAGACATTGTATATATTGTTTTCCTGGTCTGGTTTGTTTCATTGTGCACCAGTTTATACATTTTCTTATCTTCAAATTTATTGTTTCTTATAACACAGTTATATGCAGTCAAATTCAAATTGATGAAATTATTAAACAATATGGGGCCAACTCCAGATCCCTAGGGAACCCCACTGGAGACTTCCCATGCTAACACTGAAATATTAATAACCACTCTTTTAAATCCAGCCAGGAGTGTGACATGGTCAGCATTGTAGCAGAAGGCTGTTTTTGTCAGTTGTATGAAGGACATATTGGAAAAGGGAGGAGCAGGTGTCAGACTGGTTAGGAGGCTCTATGCCAGAATAAACTAGAGTGGTAACCATAAAACTTAGTG